TAATCTGAGTATCTTCCAAAGAATCAGCCACCAGTTGTTCCTGTATGTTGCAAAGCTCTTTGTACACAGTATGCTCTTCCTCCTTTCGTCTTATCCCGTTTCAGCCGACTCATGCAGATGTGACAACACTCAAGCCTGTGTTCACTCTATAAACACATCCTTCAAGGATTAAATAAAAAGCCAAGAGACCACTGGCACTTCAATGTCCTCAAAAGAAAGTGTAATGTCCTCAATGTTGTCCGTTTTCTTTTTAACTCTGACGCATGCCTGATGTTTAAAATGATCATAATCTTGTGCCCCCTCTTCTCAGAGAACCCCAGGCCCATCCAGGCAGCTCATTAGGATTGACAAAAGTCAGTACAATCGAGTCACAACAGGTATGGCCTTTTATTGATTGTGTTTATTCATTCTATTCATTAGCTCACACTGATGGACTTTCATGTAATGTGTTGTTTCATGTTGTGTACTTCTTGTTCTGTAATTTTTTTTTGCGTTCCTGCCAAAGGATGTAAACACTGAGACGCCATTACTTTTTCTCAACTTCAAAAAAATGTTCTTGTTTTTTTTTCACCAGGGAATAATGAAGATGTCTTCTGCCTTCCTGCTGCTGCTCTTTGTCTCTGGGCTCGCAACAGGACAGGGAGACGAAACACGCTATGAAAAGTTTCGTAGACAGCACATCGGCGGCCAGATGGCTGCAGACGACTGCGATGCAGAGATGTCACGCAAGCGCATCTATGCTGAAAACAACTATTGTAAAGATGTTAATTCGTTCATCCTTGGCAGTCCTAATAGCATCAAAGCCATTTGTCAAGGTCAAGGAACACCGTATGAAAACACGCTGTTGACAAAGAGTAACACACTGTTTAAAACTGTTGTGTGTGAACTGAAGAATGAGGGAGCCAAGAAACCCCACTGTCAGTACAAGGGCAAGCTTCTCAAGAACAGAGCTGTTGTAGTTGGATGTGAACAGCAGCTGCCTGTGCACTTTGCAGATGACATACTGATTTTCGGATAAAGATTGTCC